TCTCTCTAATCCACGTGACTATTCACATAACCGATCGATTAGGCGCTGGAGGGTTTAGGAATGCCGTCTACCCACGTCCAGGTACTACTGTAGATCTACATCGCATTCTTCACCAATTAGGAGCATAAGCCTCAATCTGGTGAATACTAAGATCTACTTCATCTACATCAACTTCTACATCAAGTCCAGCGACACAGATGGCGTCCACAGGCTCTGGTTAGTATCTAAGATTAGTTTTCGCATTAAAATGAATTAGCGATCATGTTTAGACTAAGTTAAAATCCTGTTAGTCTAAGTTCTTTTCAACATTACTAAGTACCTTGTGCCTAAGGACGTCTATTAATCTTACCTTGCTTTGGTGATTTGGTCATCAGGAATATACAATCTGCGTTCGACTGAAAAAGGCTCATTGGAGTAAGCAACTTGCACGAACCTGATGCTTATGTGGTAGCCAAGTCAAGCAGGCGCAGTCCACAATCTGTCCTGAAATTGAGCTGTGCAGGGCAGGGCAATGCAGAGATGCTTTTACGTGTCGCCGTCGCGTGGCCGGCCGGATAGCAGCGGCACCGGCACGCGACGGCTTACCGAGACGAGGACGGGCAGACAGACACATACAGGCACAAAGAAGACCCTGTCTTTCAATCTTCACCTGTCTGCGATCCGCCGAGGCCTGCACCGACGTTGTCGCCAACTGAAATCAAGCAGAGTACCTGGCAGTATGCGGTTTGCAATCGGGTTTTTTGGACGGATTTGATCTGGCACATGTGTTATGTTACCTTTCCGAAATCCTTGCAAAAGAGACGACGCCCATCTTTTGGAAAAGCAGGGCTATTCTGTCCTGGCTAGACCTGTGAAGGGCATGTGCCATATGTTTGGTTCACACAAAAATTCTTTTTCATGATTCATAGAGAAACAGTAAAACACCAAATAGCATCGTCCTGTACAGCTGTACTAGGGGCATGAGACATGACCAAGCTCTCCAAGAAGTCGTGTCTAGACTTTCTTCTTTACCAATATATATCGGCCGCTCTCCTCCTCGGTTGAACTTTAAAAAAAGTCTTATGCAACAAATGATTCCGTACAGTATAAACCCTACCTCTATAAATCATGCCGTACAGTATAAACCCTGCCTCTATAAAGTATCTTCGAATATTAGGCCGGCCGGCAGCTCTCCTCCTCAGTTGAATTTTAAAGAAGTCTTATGCAACAAATCATGTCGTGCAGTACAAACCCTGTCCCTATAAACATTTTCGAAGATTAGACCGGCAAATCCTCGAGATTACTAACGTCATCATAGGCGCTTCGCTGTCGACAGGAACGTCACTTACCACTGAAAACGCAACACCGTTAAATCTTGAAATATTCGCTTCCACGAAGAGTTGAACCTATAACCTAAGGTGCTAACAAGGCTCTTGTAACCACTAGGCTAGAGGCTCTTTCGCTAAAGAACCGTTGTTTATATTGCTTAAACTTGTTGTAGTTCTTTCTATTATGAATTTAATGGTTTTTCTAATTTCAGGTAGCTCGAAAATATCCAAACCGAGCCTGAAAAGTTGGGTGCCATTTTATCACGACAATCTTAGGGTGTCAATTTTGAAATTCTGAATACTCATGAAGCCTCGCTTGGCGCATCTAAATTCCCTAGGGCCATCTTAAGTATATATTTTTCAGACAAAGAACAACTCAAAAATCCCTTTATATCCTTACTAATTGATGACAGGAATAGAGATTTTTATATAAAAAACCCCTTCAACAACTTATTTAATTACATCTTCAAATAGAATCATCATTTACTTTGGATTTTTTGCTAATCAAAGATGAAGAGCGAGAATAAATCTCTAAAGTGCTCATAAGATATAGAAAAATATTTTATATATCTTTACACCATCTAACAACTTTTCTATATCTTATGCGTAGAGAGTTAGCCTCATTCTGCATCTTTGGTTATGAGAAATTTGGAATAGATGATACTATATTTGGAGATCCAAATAAAGAAGTTGTTGGATGATATTTTTTAACCAAAATCTATATTCCTATTAATTAGAAATGATATAGAGAGATTTTCAGAGTTGCTCTAATAATATTTAAGAGTCTGTTTTAATATTTAACAAAAATAAAACAATTTAATCATAGCTCAATCTACAATTTTTAGAGCCAGGAGTACAAAAATACATAGGTAGTATTCTAGAACCAGAGCTCTACCAAATGGAACCGAAATGTTTACGCAGCATTAAGAAGGTTATGTTTGTTGGGTCGACACGTTCGGGGCATCAGCCGACAAAATAAGTTGGGCAAATGCTCAGCTGAAAGGCCGCCCGGGAAACATGGTTGGACACCCGCGTTTGCCGTGACCTGGTGTAGGGCATCCCTTGCCAGAGCCCAGAGCTAGCCACCCGCCAAAGTACAGCAGGTGGTGACATCACGGCTACATGAGCGTATCCATGTAGGTCCCCAAGGAGATAGATATGTTCCATGCCGAATTTTCATTTCCCCAAGGAGAGGTGATGATCATATGGGTTATGGTACCCTGCTTGGCCGACGGGACAAGATATATTCCACGGCAATAAAAGGCAAAAAAAGAATTTGCTAGGGAAGATGCCCTGCCATTGTTTTATCAGCTCTCTTTTTTTTTTCTAAGAGAAGAGGGAATCCTTTTATTTTGACACAATGGAAAAGGTAAATGATCTTGAATTCATTTTAATAATCATAATTTAGACATACATTAATTAAGCTAATATGGTTGTATATGAATTATATTTGTATATTATTGTTGGTTATACGAGAGAGATACTTATGTGTGGTATTTTTTTTCCATAGGAGAGTGAGTTGAAGAGTATATTATAAATTGTAAAGTAGAAACATTGAATGATAATCTATGGAATCAATTTACATCTCTTATCCTATGAATTTAAGGTAGGGACATATGTGAACTTTAAAAAAATAACGGAATATTAAATTTTAAGTCAAATAGCCTAATTTATTAAGTAAATTTTAATTTCTCCAAACGAAAGGAATCAACCAGCCCCTTAGAGATAGGAGAAAGAAAGCAAGAACCAAGAACTGATCAAAGTTTAAGAACGGATGGTCTCTGTAAGCCCTTGGGGGAAAACCAACACGATAAGGAATTATTATGGGCACTTCTATCTAGCACTCAATTTTCTTTCTGCCGATGTCAAATCAGATGGGAAGGAAAAATAGGCTGCAAGCACTTTGGTTTTCCTTTGTGGCTCCTCTCCTTTTCCCTTGCTGCCCTTTCTTTCTCTCGAGGCTAGTGGAGCATCACACAAAATGCTTCCCATTGTACTAGTACTACGTGTCTACTGTCTAGTCACCACTTGGTGCCTTTTCTTTTCTGGCATCGAAAGGTGGCGAGGCAAAGAGTCTCCTTTATAAATAATAATGGCAGTGCAGTGTGGGTGACCATTGCATTGCGCTTGCGCCCCTCCTTTTTTTCACATCAGTTCAGCAACTAATACATGCTTAAGCTTTGCCCTCGAAGAAAACCATGATGCTACATGCGTAGTTTTGTTTAGCATCTAGGATGGGCTCACCGCCGCACTCACTACCTTTTTCCCCGGGACAAGATCGCGATCGCGATCGCCGGCCGTTGGTTCGTTTTGCAACGGGTTTCCGTGGTCCTGCACCTGCTTCCCCTGCCAGAATTCGCCACTCTTGCACGGCCGCCCGCTCCCACGGCTACGCCTGACACCGAATTCTCTCGTCTGCATTCGTCTTCGTCCTGTAGCGTTTTGCTTTTGTCATTGCTATGCACTCCCTCCGTCCATCCAAAAAAAATACCATTCTCGTTTTTTTAAGTCTAACGATATAAAAATTAACTAAAATTATATAAAATATATACACTAATATTTATGATACAAATAAAATATATTTTTGTAGTAAATTTAGTTAAATATATAAATTTTAATACAGTTCATTATAATTCGATTAAAAATAAACTAGTTTGACCTGCACGTAACTTATAGTTGCATCCTTTTGTGAATGAAAGTAGTATCGCTTTGTAAACTCATATGGACTACTAAGCCAGCTACGCAAAAAGCCCGAGGACCTGGGTTTTACACTTATTATCCTGACCGACCTCAAGCGAGGTTAAAGCAAGAAGAATAGCGTTATGGTACCAACGAAGGTTCCGTAACTTCAAAGGAAAGCAAGAAGAACAGGGAGAAAGGTGAGGGTAATAGAGACGTAGATTTAGATATAAATAGATATTGTTTGACAATCGACCTAGGTGTAGATATAGCTAGATGTGGTAGGATAGTTGACACTCAATAAATATCTCTTAGTTTTGAGAAATTTATAAATCATTTGGTTGCTCAATCTGGGCATTCGGTTTAAACCGACAAATCGGTTCGGTTTGTTCGGTTTCAAAAAATTTTGGTTTCCAAGCTATGACAACCGATCGGTTTGTGAGAGAATTGAAAACCGACGCATTCGGTTTCGGTTTGTTCGGCTCGGTTTTTCGGTTTAACCGAACTAACCCGAGCATCTGGTCCGCTGGTCACCGCCGCTGCAAGTCCTGCTCGCCGTCGCGTCTGGGTGTGGCCTCCCTGCCCGCTGCCACGCCTTGGTCTGTCCTGGGAGCTGCGCGGCCTACGCCTAGGCCCCTGCTTGCTGGACGCCGCTGCAGCTCGTCGGACGCCACCGCTGTTCGCCACTCGCCGCCGCTGCTTGGTCGATTCGCCGCTCCCCGCCCGTCTCCGAGTAGACCTGCTCCGCTCCTTGCTGATCTCACTCGAAGTCGCTCCTGTGCTGCTCCTGGCTCCTGCCGCCACGGCCGCGCCCATGCAGCTCCTCTCCCTGCTCGCCACGCCGCTCGCTAGCTCCGGCGCTCGCAGCCGCCACTCGCTCGCTTCGGGGCCGGGCACTCGCGGCCGCTGCACGCCCACTTCGGCGCAGGGCACTCGCGGCCGCTGCAGCGCCCGCGCAGCTCGCTGCTCCACTCGGGCGCTCGCAGCTCGTCGGCGAGTCACACCCAGCCGCCCATGTCGCTCTCCGCTCGCGTGGCCGTCGCGCCGCCGCCGCTCTCTCCTGGTAGGGTTTGGGGCAAGTTCACTCCTGGCCGCTCGCCACTCGGGCGTTGGGTGCTGCGAGCCGCCGCCACTCGGGCGCTGGCGCTGGGTGCTAGGAGCTTGTTAGGGTTTGGTGGTATGTTGTGTGGAGTATTTATTTGGGGGAGCTAGTTGGGCCGAACAACGGAAGGGAGGGCGTGGGCGATTGTTTTGTTTCTGCGATTCTGGCATCCTAAGATGCAAATCTCGTTGGATCGGTTGCTCGGTTCGGCTCAACGTAGAAACCGAAAGCCGACACCGATCACCGAACTCGCTGAAAGCAGAAACCGAAACCGAAACCGAACAACCGATACTTCGGTTAGGTTCGGTTTACGGTTTTCGGGCTAAAATCTGTCCAGGCTGATTGGTTGCGACAAATATCTTGAAATTTCTACATAAATAGGGCTCAACCCAAGGAGGCTATTATGTCACGGGACTCGCAGAGGATCCGAGTCGTGCAGTCCTACTCCTGCCGTGTGGGATACAATGGAAAAGGTGTAATTAAAGAAAACCAAAATATATAGGCCCAAGCTGAACGCAACAAAACTCTTGCAAAAGAACCGGCAAGCAACCCACAAACAAAGGCAGCCGTCCTCCACTCTCCATCTCTTCCAGGATCAAAAGTTCAAAACCGCAGAGACCGAAAATCGCCATCCATCTACTCCACCAGAAAAAAAGGCTTCCCAACCAATTAAACCCCCCTCGCCGAAACTCGCCGCCGTCTCCTCGCCTTCACCGGCTCCACCGCCGTCTCCCACGCCTCCGCCGTTTCCTCGTCTTCTGCCCGCCCCCGCCGTACCGGCCTCCTCCCTCGCCTCGTCGTTCACCAGTTCTCGCGTGCTGCCTCAACCCCGTGCCATGTCTGTCTAACTGACGCCTCGTTTATCGCGCTCTGCAGCGGCGGCCGGAGCAGGCTAGGTTACCGGCGGCCCCCCCCAGCGCCCCCACTTCGCGGTCGAGCTGGAGGACACGCGTAGCAACGCCGGGTTCTTCTGCGGCGAGCTGTGGTGTGGCCTCATGGAGCCCAAGGGCGAGTTGGCCCAGAAGCGTATCCTTCCTACTCATTTCGCTTCGCTCCCCGTACGGCTTATTATTTCTCTTTTCGTGGATCCGGCGGATGGATTCCTGGAGCTCATGCGATTGCTGTTCTTGTTGTTGCGAGTTTTTTTTTTTTTGGGGTGTTGGATCAATAGAGTTTCAGTAGCTGTTTTAATTTGAAGTACTGGAGTGTGGAATTTTATCGCTCCTGTTGCTATTCAACTCCGTTTTTATCCTCCTATAAAAAGTTTCTTTTTTTGTTAATATGGACTTTGGAAAACGAAAACAGTCTTTGAATCTGGATTGCCCTTGGATCACAGTTTGCCAGAACTTATCGCAGAATTGTCTATGCAGTTTTTTCTTCTTTTTTTCATGAGCGGGCTGTGTAGAATTCTGATCAAGGTTTTGATCCATTTTAAATTTAATCCTGACAGTTGACATTATTGAGCCTTTCCATTCTATCATGTTAGGGTTGCTATTAGCAATCCAGTAATATATGCTATTATTAGGTGCCCTTCATTATTTGGGTTTGAGAGATGGTGAGAGCTGAGCCAACTCCCATTTATTTGACAGGTAAACCAATAATATGGTGCCTGCACTGAAGGATTCCTGTATATTGGTTAGGTTGGCGTTGCATGTCTCAGTCCCTCAAATCTAGTTCAGCTAGAGTTCCTTGACCACCCTTGCATTTGTGAAACAGAAATGAAATTTTATGTACTTTAATAAAATAATTTATTGTTTTTTTAGATCTATCCCTATGATCCATTGATGAAAGCTGCACAATATCAGCCTGATGTTATGTCTGTTGATCACTGTACTGTGGCTGTGGTTGGCTTATTTTATTGGCCACTCCCCACTCGTGGACAATGACCCTTAGAAGTATATATTCTGTTTGCAAACCTTGACTTTTCTGTCATCCAGCTATTGAAGAAGCAATCGACAGCTTGAAGATTGATGCTAGCACGAAGGCAAGCAATGTCAACTTGGTGAGATTCTCATTCCCATACACAATTTACTAACTTGCTTATCTTCTTAGCGTATAAAGAACACCTTTCTTTCCTTCTTTGTCCTGTGGTTGGTTTGTTGTGCTATATCCTTCTTGACGCCTTTCATCTTCGACCCTTGTAGCCTGCTAAGAAAGATGCAAGTTCTTCTGATGCAGTATCTTGCATTTCCTCCGGCGATGCAGCTAGTACTGTGAAGGAAAGTGAAATGAACCAAGAAACTTCTTTTGGGGACCAAGGGATGTATTACTATGGATATTATTATCCTGGTAGGTAGATTATGATTTGATTATTTTATTTTAAAAAGAAGCTCATTCATTTGCGTACTTGATTGTTTAGTGCAGGTTCATACGGCGGATGGGATGAGAATGGCTACTTTGTTGGATATAATGGCCTAGAGGTGCACCCAGCAGTAAGTTATAATAATAGCGTACTTCATAAAGTCTCACATATGCCTTTCCTATTGTAGTCACCAGTGGTCCTAACTTTGAAGTCTGGTGCACTTTGTGCGTCTCTATGGTGGTACCAACGAGCTTTGCACCTGTTGGCTGTCATCTTTTCTTGACATGTTTGGGAAAGTGGCCTACTATTTTTAGTGTCACTCTTTATTCTTCTATTGTTATCCTTGTGCCAAAAATCTCTCTGCAGGATTTGTTAAACGATTTTTATTGCCATCTCCCTATATGCTGTCATGACCTCATGACTATTCTGCTGTACTGCTCGAGATGAACAATGAATGATTGCCATTGAATGAGTATACCTGTTTTTAGCGAGGACAAGTTGTTTTAGTTGCATGCCTGCTATGCAAGGAATTATAGTCAGTTCATATATATACTTTTCAATCCTACTTGAATGAAGTGTAAATTATGAGTGTTGTTTGAAGTACTCAATTTCAAAAGTGGTGATTGAATTGTTGCCTTTTTTTAGTTATGTGGCATCTTTCTTTTCCAGTGTCATCATTTCCAGGATGAACTGTTCCTTGACTGTGCAGCTGTTAAAACTGTTTGCACAAGAACTTGTTTTATATCTGCCTTATGTTCCATTTCAGGTGGTTCAAGCTGACAATGGGTCATATCTGTGTTATCTTCCGGGGTATGAAAATGGATATGCTTCTTATAGTCCGGTTGTTCCTGGAGGCATTGCTAGTGTGGATGGTCAATATGTCAGCAAAGAACCATATTACTCCACTGCAATTCCAGTACAGGATCTAAGCACACCTGGCATTTTTGCTCAACCAATTGCATACGGAACTGAACTAGTACCTGCATACTCATGGGACCCTTCTTTTGTTCTTCTGGATGGGGTTCAGGGACATCCAGTTGGTGTGCATCAAACAAATTATGCTGCAAGACCAAAATATTCTTCTAATAAGCATGCCATTCCTTCTTCGAAAGCTGCCTGCAGTGCAAAACCCGTAGCAGATACTGTCAAAGGATCATCATCAGGTCTAGAAACTATACCAAATGCTGCTAATAGCAGCCCATCATCGAAGGGTGCAAATAAGGTAAACCTTGTAAAACATTGATCTTGCCATCTTGGCCCTTGCCCCATAAAGGTAGGAAACTTACTTTCACATGCTTGTTCTCATGCTAGGCATCTGGTGCTACCATAACAAAAGGATATCTTCCATCTAACAAGATTGTGATGCATAGTAATAACCAAGGAAAAAACAGTGTTTATCAAAGCAAAGGTATCAATGTGAAAGAAAGTGGTAGAAGCTGGAACAACGGTGAGAAGCTTAAGACGAGAAGTAAGTTAAATGGACATGGTGATTCTGAATCTAATGAGAACAGCCACACTGATAACTCAAAACACAGTTTGAGCCCTCAATCTGATGTTGGATTATCAAGTGCTGGGGGTGCTAAGGCTAGCATACCTTCGCATGTTGCAATAAGCAAAAATGCATATAATCTTTCAGATTTTGTTACAAAGTATGAACAAGCTCTATTCTTTGTAATTAAGTCTTACAGTGAAGATGATATTCACAAGAGTATCAAGTACAATGTCTGGGCAAGTACTCCTAATGGAAATAAAAGGCTTGACAATGCCTATAGACTTGCACAAGAAAGGATGGCAGAAAAAGGAACCAAATGTCATGTTTTCCTTTTCTTCTCAGTAAGTACACGCTACTAATTGTTCCTAGAGAATTATTTTTTTCTCATGAACATCACCTTGAATCTCAGAGTATAGTGTCCCCGTGGTATCCCAACATTTGTTCTTATTCAATGTATCTAACTGTTGTTTTAGTACTTAGTTTCACGTGAGAAGTGCACAACAGGAAGCGATTGCTTTCTAATTTATCTGTTTATTTTAAAATAACATGCCATTTGGTTTCTTTGTTCCATGGAAGTTCTAGTAATCATTACAGCCGTCTAAACATGATGTACCAGTATGTAGGTAGAACATGGCAACCTTTGTTTTAACTATCTGATAACACAGTGCTGCCTTGTTTTTTTCATACTTTGTTTCACGTGTTCGTAGCAAGTTAATGAGTTGCATATCGAAGTGGCCCTTTTATGAAAAGGGTAGCATTATTATTTTTCTTCTGACCTTTTCATGTTGATTATTAAACTATAGGTTAATGCTAGTGGTCAGTTCTGTGGCGTGGCTGAGATGGTTGGCCCAGTAGATTTCAACAGGAACATGAACTTCTGGCAACAGGACAAGTGGAACGGTTTCTTCTCGGTAAAATGGCACATTATCAAGGATGTTCCCAATCCACAATTTCGCCATATAATTTTGGAGAATAATGAGAATAAACCTGTGACAAACAGCAGGGACACGCAAGAGGTAACCTTCCAATACTTAGCAAGAGTTTCGTGCTATTTTTTACGGCAAGAGGTTGAGCTTTGTAAGTTAATTCTCATTTCATGGCAATATGTCAGGAAATCTGTTTGTTCATAATATTTCATGCTATTGCCCATGTGATTTTCCTTGCTATTGAAACAATCAATCCTATTTGTGCTCTGTGTGATTAATGAATCTTCCATGATCTGAATGATTCTCGTGATTCTTCTATTTTGTATGAAACAAATGCCAACAACTTTATAAGCATTGGAACAACTTTTAGGTTCTTGTCTATTCTACTCTTCAGTTTCCTCTGTTTTACTAATCAGTTAGGGTGTTTCATTCTTGTCTAAATATGCTTTTCTTGTACTGTAAAGATGGTATTTTGGTTTAATTCTACCACTGATTATGTATGATTTCAAATCCAGGTCAAATTTTCACAAGGTACAGAGATGTTGAACATTTTCAAGAACTTTGCATGTAAAACATCAATACTGGATGACTTTGACTTCTACGAAAATCGGCAGAAAGTAATGCAGGACAGAAGAGGCAAGCCGCTTACTATGTCGTTTGATCACCCAGTGGTATGGAGTGATGAACTGAATATTCTGAACTCCTATTCTTTAACAACAATATTATTTGTTTCTATTTGTTCATTGTATTTACGGACCATATAAAGCAAATAGTTTTACTTGGTCAAAATGGCAGTGCTATGCTTCTTGGTTTATGTTTGGTGGAAGGTTATGGGTATTTCAATTGAGACCTAGAACTTCCTATAGGAATACACAAGGAAATAATACAATTGGCCAAAATAGATAATGGGAATCATCTCCATATCATTTTACATTTCTTAACAAATATAATCTGTTTGGCTATTCTAAGTGTTTTTTTTCTGTGTAAAGAACATGTCATTTTGAATTCTTTGTTCCAGTATTTTTTTCTGTAACTTAATTGACCCGATTGGCTTTTGGTGACAGAAGATTTTAGTTGCACATATTAATATCTCCTAATAATAGTAATCTGTCATTCACATTATCATTGACAAATAGCGATTATTATGTTCCTCATTGATTTTCATCGTCTATGCAGCCAAAAGCTGAAAAAACTGCAGAAATTAAAAGGCAAACACAATTGGTAAGTGCCACAGAATTTGGTAGAGCCAAGAGTAATGTGGGGCAGGGCAACAATGTTGGGATGGTACATGATACAACCAAGAAAAATGAGGAGCAGAGCAACAATGTTCCAGAAGTACTTGATGCCTGTAGTAACAAGGAGCAACCCAACGAAGTTGCAACACAAGGATGATGCCATGCGCTAGTTGAACTGGGGAATGAGATAGCCTCTGGAATGGACTTCAACCTGAATGATAAATTTGATGTGTACAATGTCAAGAAACCATCATTTGTTATCGGTTCTCTTCCATTTTCTCATGCAAGCGGAAAAGGAAAAAGAAAGTGAAGCTATGGGACTGTCTTCCCACGAGAAATGTTTGGCTTTCAAGAAACCATCATTTGTCATCGGTTCTCTTCCATTTTCTCAGCCAAACAAGCCCAAGCGAACAGGGCTTTCAATGACTGGGAAAAAGGTTCTAAGGCACATTTAGGTTGAGCCCCCTGGTGCTAAGGCATTAGAACCCCCTCCTTGTCTATTTTATTTTTCATCTCGGAGGGTATTTTCTTTTCTTGTGTTGTGTCTTTGTTTTTTCTCTTGTTCTTCCTAGTACACTGCTGAGATTTTGCGAAGCAGTTTGCGCTGCGGTCCAAAGAAGCCAGTTTGCCTTATGGCTGGGTGTGCTTAAGGGAGTGTTTGTTGCTTTGTGGGTTGTCCTCTAGGATGTGGTATGTGTTGACTGTTTCCTTTTAGAATCTGTGCACTTGTTCTAGAAACTGACATAGAAGAAAAGAGAAAAAAAAGGATTGTGAGGGATTAGGAATTGATTACAATAACTTAATCTTATGTTGCTGTTTCTTCCATTATCAAGAAAAGGAACAAAAAGGATTTGAAAAGCTGTTGATGTGTACTTCGACGATACCATGTGTCTTGCAGCCTGCTATGAAACCTTTCATTTTCGCTTGGTTCTTTATGGCTAAATTGGGTGTTCGATTCGGACATCTTTGGTTGGCCTTCGCCGTGTTCTGATGAATGAATTTTTTTTTTGAACGCAATGATGAATGAATATACAGTATGTGTAAGACTGTGGAGCACTTTCCAGAGTGATTTCGACGGATTGTGAACTGACATCCAGTCCTTTCGGAAAGGGACTTCCTATCTGTTTGCTTTCTGGGCATATGTATAAAGGTAACTTTATCGATGCTATCAAATTGCCTTTTGAAATGTTGAGAAGAATTTTGTTTATGAATCAAATATGCTATGGGGAGTGGACGGCCTTTTCTGAGTCAGCTGATTGCTTGCTCTTCAGTGAGGAGCAGAGGGTGTTGCAGCCTACAAATTTTTTGGTCTGTGAAGTGGCAAGCTTCAGCTGCTTGTTTGCGTTGTTAAAACATACATAGTATTTTGTAACTGGAGATGGTTCTTTCCTGTGGTAGAAAAGATTCACATGATTCTTCCTTTCTTTTCAGATGCTTCTTTTAATTGCCAATCTTTAGATGCTATGATTACTTTCTTGTTTGATAACGAGTGATTATACCTCACAAACATGGATTTAAGGTTAGCTTATGGAGAGAACCCACGCTAAGCTAGATTTTTTCCGCTATGTCAACTATGACCTTTATATTGCGCTTTGGCGCTGCTAAATTGTTTGGTTGTAGCTTTGAAATAGTGCTGCTATTTCAATTTTAGCTATCAGAGTGCCAATTTAGTTATTATCTATTTATATTTTGCGGCTAAGTTGGTCTTTTGAAAAATTGAACACTTGGAGTCTCATGTGCCATATTAAGTAATGTTTCCTAGACTCCTGATGCCTTGTAAACATATTTGTGTCATCCAATTCCGTGATTCTAATATTTTTGTGAATCAATTACTTGTATTTTTCATGGTTATCTTAAAACCGCTCTCTGTTATAGTTCTGTTACAGCTGTGCTATACTTTATAGCTTCTAGAAAAAAAGATGCCGCTATTTGCTATAACCCGCAATTTAAAACCTTGCTCGCAAATCATAGGAATATATGCCCAGTTTGGTTTTGGAGTTTATCATTTTGTTAAGGAGTAATAAACCAATAATGCAATGGATTAAATCTGCTCCTGATTTTTACTGTCGTCGGCGAACGATCTTGCCACCCTAGGATTCTTTCGTAGGCGCCGCAAAACACGAATCCTTACGTTCGTTGGGTCGCTGAAAATGTTAACCTGAAGGCAGCCCATTGTTGAAGGATAATCAAAGAAATTCTCAGCCCAACCTAGTACTGCCCAAGTCTTCAGCTGCTTCATTTCCCGTTATGCCGTTTATGGGCCTAAATACTTAAAACTGAAGATGGGCTGTTGAAAGTACAATACACCAAATTTACCAGGGCAAGCTACCAAACAGGCTCCAAATCTGGAAAAAGAAAGGGAAACCAACCGATCTACAATCCATTGTTGAATTTCATGCGTGCTAACTTGGGCCAAACCTATGGCTACAGTTGGTTACTTGCAATATTGGTCCACAATCATCTCTAAAAACATGAGTGCAGTGGGAAGAAAACTTGAGGCAGAATAGTCATTTTAGTCCCTAACTAATAACTATCACCTGAGACTCAGTTTTGCCCCTAAACTTCCAAAACGATTGTTTTAGTCCTTAAAGTTTACTTTTGGGCTTAGTTTCATCCATGAACTATCGAGGTGTGTTTCACTCCTCGAACTTTTCCTTTTAGTTTCATCCATGTATGTCAACTATCGGATACCATGTTGGTGCAGGAACCATTCGTCTACATCCCTGAAGAAACGATCCGAGAGGCGCTCAAAGTTATTCTTGGTACCGGCATTCACTGATACTTCCACAATTCTACTTTATGCCATTGCAACTTTCACCACCTGACATCTCTAACTCTTCTCCTGTTTCAATCTATTCAGATGTAAGAAACCAGCCGGTGCTCATCCACTGCAAGAGAGGCAAGGTAAGCCTCTTGCATTCCAGTTCAGCATTTTCCTTCCACGATACTACGCGGCGAGTGTTTTCTTTCAGCACCGGACTGGCTGCGTCGTCGGATGCCTGAGGAAGCTGCCAGGGCCGGCCCTGATTTTTTGGAGGCCTAGGGCGAAACTACAATCCGAGGCCCTTTATACATACAATTGATAGTGCTAAATGTAAATACATATATATAAACACTTAACTACAGATGCAATAGCAATATTCATATGAAAGAATTCATAAATATTAAATTACCTTAAAAATTCTTATATTAAATTACATTAAAAATTCCTTCTAACATTCCTCGATGCGAAGTCATTGATGCTGGTATCAATATCGATCTCATCCAACAATCGCTTCTCAATGCATAATGTTGCCAAACCATTTAACCTCTATTGAGACATTGTAGATCTCAAATAGTTCTTCAACAATTTTAGTTTTGAGAAGCTTCTTTCAGCTGATGCCACAGTCACAGGCATAGTAAACAAGATCCGATAAGCAATGGAAGCATTAAGATAACAATCAGCCTTTGTAACAAACTCAAAAATCTCCATAGCTGTCATTGGTGTATCCGGCAAAGTGAATTGTAGAACACTCAACTCGAAAATTAGATCATTTAAATCAATGTCAGATGAACCATTTAGAGAGAAAACTGCTACTAGTGTTGTGCAACACACTTTTAGCTCAGGACCATCCAATGCCTTCAAGTTTGCTAAACTCATTAAAAATCCAAATAATTCTCTGAATGATTCCAATTCTTGAAATCTATCTCCAATGAACAGACTGCCATATCAATTATAACCGCGAAGTAACTAACTTTAAATTCCTTCTCACCTTCCAAGAGTGCTTCCTCACTATTATTTTCATCAAAATGCTTCTTTCTACATCTCAACACAAGCTAAGAAATTGCCATTTTGGTCATTATAAAGCTGCTCGTTAGATCCTCTAAAAGTCAAATTACGTCTACCAAGGAATTTTACAATGGCAACTATTCTCATCAGTACTTGCCTTATGTGCTCTTTCTCCTTGGAGATTTGCTGTTGTAACTCTTTATCAATTGTCTCTTGTTCGTCTAATCTAGTTCTCAATTCATTCCATGAGTTCATATTGGTAATATGCTCAACAGTAATTTCATGTTCCTTCAGGCTCTCATTGATATGTTTTCAATCTCTATACCCATCATTCCCCAATGAACTCTTGTACTTTTTAGAATTAAAAAGCTTACAACAAAAGCAAAATACTTTAAAGTGTTTGGAATAAACTAGCCATTTCCTGTCACGTAGCTCTCCATTACTCATTTTTCTATGATAATGAGAATATGCAAAATGCCTTAAATTATCGTCGAAAGGGAATACAATATTATCCTCTCTTATAGGCCCCTTTTCAACTAATATATCCCTTGCTTTGTTATCAAGATTATCCCAATCTCTTGGATCATAAATATCCATGTGACACAATGGTTCCTCATCAAGACTACTATTTTTTTGTAGGATTTGAATTAAATACGTGCTCATCAATACTCACATTGTTTTCTTCCATGTTAATGCCAACATTGTCATCGGGAGGACCTTCATCTTCTGGAATAATCTGTGTTGGTTCCTTGCAGACAACTATCGTCAACTCGTTTGGATCTCTTAAAGTGTTTGGATTATTCTTTAAAAACTTATGCATAGACCCCCTATGTAATTGTATGAACTCATCTATTTGTGCTTTCTTTTTCCTTTTTTCACTGACGGAAGCATACTTTTTTGATGACACGATGCTGTTAAGATTTAGAGAAACAATTAGCTAAAAAAAGTAACTCATCTACTCGCATTGCTGGCTCAGTGTGGGCGTGTGGCTCATCGCCGATCGTCAATTCGTCGTCGCTCGTCTGGGTCGGGCGGAGTCGCGGAGATCGCAGCGCGTGCGTCGCGTGGCATCGAGTCCAGCGTCTCGCGGTCTCGCCTCGCGCCGTGGCGCAGGCGCGCCCTCGCGTCTCACGTCGCCGGTCGCCGCCGCCGCCGCCGCGCGTGTCGCGTCCGCCCGCCGGTCCGCATGACCGCAGACCGCGTCGCTGCCGCGGAAGAGGAGTCGAGTCGCGTGTCGGCGTGTGCGTGTGGCTTCTCGTGGACGCTAGTTCTTTCTTTCTATTTTTTTAATATGGACACCATCCTTCTCGTGGACGCCAGGACTTGCAGGCCGGCAACGTTCAGTACTCGGCCAAATACTAATATACCTGGTGTTTACAAACTTGGGGTGGGGCCCTACCTAACTGGGGGGCCAGGGCGGCCGCCCCGCTTGTCCGCATCCAGGGCCGGGCCTGGAAGCTGCAGAAGTGGTGCCTGTCTTCAGTGTTCGATGAGTACCTGCACTTCGCGGCGGCGAAGGCGAGGAGCGCTGACCAGAGGTTCATGGAGCTGTTCGACGCGTCGAGCTTGATGCACCTGACGGCCTCACAGTATTGAGCACTGACCAAAGCCAGTGGTTTCCAAGCGGTCCCGATCCTGCAACCATGCTGCATCAAGCGACAAGCTGTTTTCCCCTGTTGTTTCCGAAGCAACTCGGCAGAGAATAATGCTGGAACCATGAGTGTCTCCGGTGAGAATCGATAGGCAATGGCCTTAGGTTTTGTTGTGTGAGTGCTGTGGTTGCTTCGTGTTCGACTGATTTCAGATTCTGAACTGGTGATTTCTATAATGAACACTGGGAGTGGGAGTAGCACGACCTGCGTTACCCTTGAACGTTGTACACTAAAGCGGTCAAGAAGGGCGCGCTGCCGAGCAAGGATCACGACCGCCGTCTCTTCGACCTCTTCAAGAACATCTGGCCTTCGGTTACCAAGGCGGTGCCTACCAAGGCGGCGGCTAACAGTGGTGCTGGGAGGGAGCCTGACGAGATGTGTGAGCTGTACCCATACCTTGCGGAGGAGGTGAAAGCGCTTCAGAAGGCACACCCGGGCTTGTTCAAGCGGGAGTTCACGATGATCGACGATAGCAAGGCCCGTGCACTGGACGAGAAGATCAAGAAGCAGAGGCATGCACAGATGAAACTGCATCTGCGCCGCCACGACCTGACCAAGGAAGTGACCAAGATGCTCATGAGTGACGGGGTGGACTAGTCTGAGCAGTATCTAGGCATTCTACTTTATGGCATTCAAATGCATTGATGCTCGATTACCAGCAAATTTTGTATCCTCTACTGAAGTGCGGTAGCTGAATCTCGACTTTGTTATCTAGCTGGTGTTGAGTTTTTTGTTGTTCATGGTGATCGAGACTTGTTGCAGTGTCAGTGTTAAGTCAGGAAGTGCCTGGATGATGTTCAGTTATTCTCTTTTGTTGTTGGTTCTGAACTAGGCAGGATAACTTTTGTAGTCTAAATTTGTCAGTCTGAGCTCTAGTAATGTGGAAATACTATGTTATTGTAGTAATATGGAAATACTATGTTATTCGGAACCCTGACTCCCCGAGGACTTCACCACACCCCCGTCTGTGATGCCATTTCTTGATGTTGGCTAGCGTTATATGAGATCAATTTATCATTTTCATAGGAACTCCAGAGTTCACAAATTTTCTATTATCAAATGCAGCCAACAGGCAATTTGGTGGGAAAACATTCAGACAGTTTCGATGAACATCCCGTGCAACACAATATTTCAGAGACTGACTTCTAACATGTCTTTTACAGTGATGGCTTTTTCTTTGCTGTCAAGGAAGTATCATTAATGGACCAAGGACTCAATGCAAAACAACGCAGTCTGTAGCTTGAACATGTGAGTTAGGGCAGTCCCAACAGCGTATTGATGATGGTTTCTATCCTCATTAAATAACTTGTCACGTAGACAAAACGCTGACATAGCAACATAATTAATGAAGAAAGAGAGCAAAAATCATAGAAATGGTTTCCTCATGAAGAAATCAGGTCTTCTCTTGACCCAATGCACCAAGAAACCATGAAATCGTCGTTGGGGAGAAACCACCAGTTTCTAGGGGGCTCGTGTCGCACTCCCATTGGAGGAAGAAGATAGAGTTGGGAGAGAAAAGAGAAAATAATTATTACTCATAGAAACCATGGGTTGAAAAGCAGTACTTTTTTATGCGGTATCCTATGTTATAGAAACTACTAGTTTCTTTTATTGGGACTGCCCTTGTGAATTATGCATGCTTGAGAGTTATGCTGATTACGCTGTATCAAACATGTTTCTCAATCATCCAATTATTTTTCTTGACTTCCACTGATAATAGGTAATTATTTTGTTTCACTGTTTCAGGAGATATCTCTCTTGAGTCGTTTGGAGCATGAAAATATAGTTCAGTATTTTGGAACAGATAAGGTACTAAACTCATTTCTATAGTCATGAAATTCATTTCCAGAATAAAACTATGATAAGCATACATTTATTTTCTATAATAAAATTTGCTCTATGTGGTGATTGCTTTTAATTTGTTGTGCTCTGTTTTGTGCTCCCCTTTTGTTCATATTACATGCTATCTTCAAGTATATGGCAGCTGTCCATCATGAACGTTTTTTTAATGTTAAATTTGTGGGACGAATTCTTTGCAGGAAGGTGGGAAACTATATATTTTTCTTGAAGCTAGGCTAGGGTTCGCCGAACGCCGGTTCAGGGAGACAACGCAGAGTCGCGTGCGGCTTCCCTCCCGACTCCCGTGACTATGAGTGAGCGTGGGGGAGAGGTGTTGGGAGCAGGTGTTGTTGGGCCTTTGGGTGAGAATATGGGCCCCTGGACCTCGTTGAGCCTTCGGGGGAGGAAAACGAGTAGAAAGATGTTATTTGGGGCTGATTTGTTGTTTACTCCGGCTATGATAGCGAAACGACGTGCTAATGACGCCGAGTTAGCCGTTGAAGCAACCGCGGAAGGAAACTCCTGTGAACTCGCGCGTGTAAACCTAAACACCTTCTGTCACAAAAGTTTGTTTGGACGTGGATTCGTTGTTGCTTTCCTTGTATCTTTCTTTTACCGTTGCTTTGGGCATGTTCGCTTGAACTTATCAGTCGGCTTATCAGCTAGAATCTATAGTATTTTTCTCTCACAACAAAATAGCTTCAGCTGGCTTTAATACCAGCGGAACAGGCCAAATCTCCTTTTTTTTTTTAAAAAAACAGTGAAGAAATATTTTAATCCTTGACAATCTTAAACTGATGAAGTGAAAGGTTGTACATACCACGTTGTTTCCTTGTAACGGAAGTGCTTGCATCTAGACGTTCGGACGGACGCGCGGTTCCCGTTCGCTGATTTTTTTCTCGCCTCGCACTGCACCCCGTCTTGTTGCAACGCCCGCACATTCGGACGACTCACCTCGCACACGCCGCCCACCCTATCCATCTCGATTCGAGGCCGTTTGGCCCACCCTGCACGCGCACCATGCCCCTGTCGTGCCCCGATCGCCGGCCCCAGCATGCCCCTTCCATAGGACACCGGCGCCACAGGCCCCGTCCGTCGGCCCTTAGCTCGTTGCGCCCCATTCCCCGGAGCCCGTGCCGTGACACCATCACTCCCCGCGCCCTCTGAGCAACATGAAACACGTACAACATATGCAACATAAGTATAAAAACAGATGAGCACATATGTGTGAAACATATGCAGTATCCAGATAAAACATTTGCAACTTGCAATATGAAAACACTTACTGCCACATAAGACTAAAACAGTTGAAATATTTGGAACATATTGTTGCAACTTATGTGTGAAACATATACAACATCCAGATCAGAACGCTTGCAACAAACGTCTGGAATAAATGAAACATTTTGAACAAACCTCTGAAACACTTGCAACATGTCATTGAAATACTTGCAGCATATGCAACATGTACAACATCCCCAATCTACTTTTGTAACATCAATATAAAACAATTGCAACATAACTCCGAAACGTCTGAAACATACGCTTGCAACATGCGATTTCATCGCAACATCTCCTTGCTGAGGTCGCGCGTCGCGGCGACCATGACCTTCTGGTGGGGAATGGCGACGTCAACAGTACCTCGCCAGCACCCCAGCAGCATCTAGGCACGCGCAAGACAGGGCACGGCGGGGGATGGAGCGCAGCGTGGCGACGAAGGGGGCGTAGCACGGGATGGGGGTGCGGCACTAGTTGGGGGAGCTGCGTGGCGCGGGATGGGGTGCGCGGCGGGGAAGACAGTAGTAGCAAGCGCACGGCGCAGCAGCACGCGATAGGCGAACAAGGGAGTGGGAGATATTTTTGAGCGAGAGAGATTGGGAGACAGAGAGGAAGCAGGCCTGTTGGGCTGGTAGCTCGTAGGCCTGGAAAATGGTGTACTGACGGATAGACGCTCGCTCGTGAGCATTACCGTTCCTGTAAACATACAACTTGCATTGATGAAGTTTAGAGGGTGAATTTGAAACTTCAAGCTTTTCCCAAGTCACATCAGAATACACAGAAGTTTGAGAGTCAGTTTGCTCTGCAACCCCTAGTACTTGTAAATTGGGCTGACCTCACCAGCACACTACTTTGGTGGGCCTTGTTAACGATTTTCTGGCCCGCACACGTTTCACATCAAACGGACAGTCCACGCAAGGCATCACATCGCAGGCCAGGAGGCCGTCTAGCTCCTTGGTAGGGAGGGATTCTGAGCTGATCTTGGACAGGAGTTCCATTTACGGATCGAAGTGTAGCTCCACTGGAATTACGATCTCTCGTTTCCGGCCTTGCACATGGTGATGAGACAAGATACGTAAATCAACTCACACCCTCTCGATGATATTAATCATCTGGCTAGTTTGGACACAAAGGAACGATAGGATTTTCTCGAGACAGGAAAAGAACGTGGACAGACATTTTTGTGGACCTCCAGGACTCGATTACCCTCTGCAGCAGTGCAGGGGCCAGATGCCTGATCCCCCGACTAGTTGTAAATTTTCCTAGCAAATAATCACTTAAGTTTCTTTTCCCAGCTTATTAACGGTCTGTTAAGCTTGGTTATATCGCTATGCTACTTTTGCGCATGTAAATATGTAATCCAACTCCTTAATAACATAAGCCAGACTATGTATGGATCTTTTTTTTTTTTTTGAAAAAAAAACGATGGCCTCCTATGCCTTAGCTTGGTGACATGAGTACATGACATCTCTCTGGAATTAAGGCCATGCTAGTATGCATGCGTGCTTTCTGATCGCTGTGCTGAGTAGGCTGTCATATACGTACACACGTAAATTAGCAGCCCGGTTTCAGCAACGCGTCCTGATTGGCCCGATGCGCCATTACCATTAGGCATTAGCTAGCGCCTACGGCCCACTAGCTCCTCTCAGTCCCAAGGCACCCGCAATGGTATGAGCTAGTTAGCAGCTCTAAGTCAACTTTTCTAATAATGCTAATTTTTAGCATATATCTTATAGTATATGGATAGCGCCGAGCCTTGCGTCCTCCGCCCCGCCCAAGGCCTGTGCGTGCTGCGTGGCTAGGTGCCGCGGCTGAGCCCGAGCCACCCCGCCGCTGCCACCGGTGCCGCCCCTTTCCCGACAGAAAAGCCCAAGGTGAGCCCCTTCCTCTCTTGCTTTTTCCTGTTGAAGCTCCGTGAAGGAAGACGAGGCAAGGTAGAAGATGATGTACTTACAGTTCTGCCACTTAACGTAAGTGCACGTCGTTTGTTTGTTTTAACTTCGGTGATCTATATGTTAGTCCTCAAACTTGTGGAGGTGTCAATCCGGAACTCTGTTTGGGTCTCATATTCATCCAAACGGATATAGATTTGTACCCGCCTCCATACCCATTAGGATGAATATGAGACCTCAAACAGAGCTTAAAGACCGAAATGACACACTCCTACAAGTTCGAAGACCGATCATGAACTTTACTCTTAAAATATTAATTAAAAAAGATTAAAAATAAAAATCCCTGCACAGCGGAAGCTAGCTGCGGCCGGGAGCATTCCACGTGCAGCCGCGAGCGGCGAGCCGAGCCCCCCTGGAGGCTGGAACAGCGAGTGTACTTCCGTATTCCGTCCCTCAACCTGTTCGCTTGTCGTTTCTATACCTTATAAGTCGGCCGATACTATTTTATTGTGAGAGAAAAACACTATATCATAACTGATAAGCATAGCTGATACGATAAGCGTGTGTGTCAAAGGCCAGGGACGCTCG